AGCCAGGGGCAAGTGGAGGAGGAGTGGGGGATCAGACCCCGGTCCTCCCAAACTGGCTCCCACCCCACCCCACCGGCCTCTCCCCAGGCATCCCCCCCTCGGCCCTCACCTCACCCCGCCCACCTCCGGAGAGAACGCCGCCAGACGACGAATCCCGCCCGCCCTTCAAATCGAGCGGGAGCCCCGCCCACGTGACGCCACGCCACGGCCCTGATTGGCTGACGGGGGGACTGCTTTTACTTTTAGCTGATTCGTTTCGCTCGTTCACTTCAGAGACTAGTAGAAGCCGTGGGGTTTTTTACATGTACCTTTTAAAATATATCGTGCAAGTGAGGTGAAGAAACTCTCCCCCCCCCTTAAGGACAAGGGCACCCCCGGGGTTTCTCCTCCCCCTCCTGTGCTTATTAGTAGCCCGTCCCTCAAAGACCTCCCGGCCCTGCGCGAGCTCGCGAGGACGCTCTATCCGTCAGCGTCTCCATGGTGTGCTGTCTCGAGGGGAGGGTTCCCTGGTGCGAAGCGGAAGTGCTGCCCGAGGTCGCCCGGGGGGGGCGGGGCTGGAAGTCTCTCTGGAGGCTTCGGTTTTGGGGGAGGGGGAGGGGGTCGCGGATCCCTCGTTCAGGTACCGGGGGCGCCTCCTCTGCGCCTTCTCTCTGGAGTCCTGCTCAGGGCTTTATTTTACATGATTTAAACCCCGGAGTCAAGAGGCGCTTAATAGAAGCAGCGGAAGCTGCCGGAACAAAACCTCCGGAGCCTCCGGACTGGGACCCCCAAACGTGTATCCGAGGCAGTAGGAGCTCCCGCTTCCTCGGAATGGCGCGTGGAAAGGGCAGGCCCTCCCTTCCGTAAACCTCTGTGGGCCTGAAAGGACTCACTCGGCACGTGCCCTCCTGCTTCAGACCAACACAGCTGCCCGCCGCCTGGGCCTGTGTCTTAAGGTTGACACCACACACCGTTCAAAAGCCGATGAGGGTAAAGCGTGGAAAGAGCCTGGACAGAGCAGGGATGCCAGAGGCCTCCAGGCGGGGCCTGGGAATGACAGCTCATCTCCAGGCTACAGAGATCTGTCCCCCTGATGAAAGTGGGTGTTTAGGGGGAAGGGGTGGGCACTGTCCTTCCTGCCCAGGCTCCGCCCCCCAAATCTCCAGGAGTCTCCCAATCTGGATCTGGCAACCAGACACTCCTATCCCCCAACAGTGGCTACGGGAAACCTGGCAACCACACCCAGCAGGAACTCATTAGCATAACAGGCCACACCCAACAGCAGGAGCTCATTAGGATTGGCTACATTAGGGGTGTGTGGCCTAACCTGCAAAGGAGTTCCTGCTACAAAAAAAAAGGCCCTGGGTCTTGACAACAAACAAGGTAAACAGAATAAGAAGCAAAAGGTGGGTGTGGCTGGATGATCACATTTCTGGTAATATGGGGGTGCGGCCTAATGAGCTGTGCTGTCAGGGGTGTGGCCCAATATGCTAATGAGTTTCTGCTGTTGGGTGTGGCCTATTATGCTAATGAGTTCCTGCTGGGCTTTTTCCACAAAAAAGCCCTGAAACTGTGTATGAAACAGCTGCATCCTTCCCTTTAAACAACTGAAGCCTTTAGAGTCCTGGAGAGTGGCTGCCACTCAGAGTAGAAATACTGACCGGGATGGGCCACCTGCCTGAGACTGTCTGTCTGGCATTTTAAATAAGGGGCTCTTGCTCAGTATTCGACCATCTGCCCTAAATGCAGAAGGCCCTCGTTTCAATTGCTGGTTTAAAGGATAAGATGGTAGTTGATGGCGGAAGACCACTAAGAACTGCTGCCAACCAGAGTATGGTGACTTTGTCTGACTCAGTATAAAACACAGTTTCGTATATGTTTGTATATATTTAAGAACGCCCCTCTTCTGACTTGAGCTTCCCATGGGTTTCTCCATGCATGTTTCACTATCACAGGGTTAACCGTCATAATTGCCTTGACATTCCTCTCTGCCTCTTGCTGAATCAAGTGTCCTTGCTTGGCCTATTACTAGACACTTTGTAGACATCTTTTTTTTTAACCCTCGAAGGGATGTTTTTTTTATTTTGCAATAGACTACAGAACTACAAAGAAAATATTAGGAAGGGAACTACAACTAGGGATAAAGGAAAGATAACCACACTATGCTAAAACCCCAAGAGGAGGAGATCTTATCCCTGTTAATATAAGTGTTAGTACTAAAAGTGTTAACATCACAATATACTTGTAGAGTTCTTGTTTATCACAGCTTCAAATGTGTTAATATGTTAGTTGTTATGAGAGAACTTTCTGATCATCTTCTTGTTCTTCGCTTCAAAAGGCCATTTTCCGAGTCCTTCTGCCTTCACTTCGGCTTTCTGTCTCTAAAATCATATACAACTCTGGCATGACCTGCACCCATTTCTGCAGCAGAGTCCTCTTCCGTTCCAGAGGTGGCAGAGTCACTAGATTTTGTTTCTTCCTCCTTAGACTCCTCCTCTGTTCCCAGCTGACGCTGCAAAAACTCTTTGGCTTTAAAGGTGGAGTCTATCTTCTCTCTTTTATCGTTGATCTTAAAGATGACACCCTCCGAGACTGCCCATCTGTACGATATTCCATTAGTTTGGAGAAAAGAAATTAAATCCTTATAGTTTTTCCTCATTTGTCGAATTTCAAATGGAATGTCTTTTAAAGTTTTGATGATTACATTTCCCATTCTCAGTGGAGTTGCTGATGTCGCTTTTAAGATGGCATATCCGCTCTACTTCAGGAACTCCCTGGAACCTGAGAATCATGTTAGCTTTTTCCATCTCTAACTGCAGCAAACGATTTTCTTGGACGTTCTGCTTCATTTCCACTTCTCCCATTCTTTTCTTCAGTTTCTTGCTTGTGGTGTCTATCTCTTTAATTTTCTCATTTGCCTGCTCCACTTTTTTCTCCGTTTCATTCACCTGGAGGTGTTGAGATGCAAAGTTCTTATTCATCACGGTCAATTGCTGGTTAATACCATCAAGTTGTTCCATCACCGGCTTAAGCATATCCGCTAGCAGTTTAATGATGTCTGCTCCCTCTTCCAGTTTTGAGCTCTGACTGCCCGGCAATTTCGTTTTCAGCTTTCTCTGCTGGGCCGCCATTTTCTCCATTTTGTTTATAGTTTCAACCGCTTCTTCACGGCTCGAAAAACTCGCCCCACGATGACGAAGATCAAGTAAGTCTCTCAAAACACACTCATTGTATTTCCTCCCCTCTCCCCCTTCATATCACATCAGTTCATTCACATAAGAGGCGTCCCTCTTTGCAACTGCTTTTGTCAGCGGAGGAGGGGGGGAATTTGCTTTTAAAGTAATCCGATTTATTCTGAACTCATGTTCATTGTCAGTCAGTTTCTCTGACCTCGCTCATTAATCGCCATTCCGCTCGATCTCCAGCGCTTGTCCCGGTCAAACCAGCTAGTGCCCGAGGGCCACACAGTGGCTGGACTGTCAGGGCGGAGGGAAGCCTCGATTCTCTGGCATTACGCCATCAAAGAGGCCACCCCTCAAAAGCCCCCTGGCCTGGAGCCTATCGCAAAGGCTCCGTGGGGGTGTCACTTGAGGTGGCACCCCTCCAGGCCGTTGGTGTGCGGATCGCTCTCCCATGGCTTGGGGAGAGCGTCCGCCATTGCTGCTTCATAAACCGGAAGATCGACTCTTTGTAGACATCTTGAAGGCTGAGATGGGATGACCCAAGGGTCAAAAGAAGAAAAGACACAGACCTCCACCAGCTGAGGAAGAAACGGAATTATCTAACAAAGACTCCCCCATACCGCTTGCATCAGAAGGAGAGGTGGCTTGGGCCAGCAAAAGGGAATGTGAAGGCTCAATTAAAAAAAAAACATGCAAGATTCTTTTACAGAACTGAAACAAGAAATAAAAGAAGAAATCAAGAGTCTTATCACTCCAATGATTACAAAAATAGACAAATTAACAAAAAGCATGGAAGAAATTAAAGCAGTCCAGACTCAGCTGCCGCAGAAGTGAAAAATAACAAACAAGCTATCTTGGAGCTACGTGATTATGAAGCCTGGTCCAAAAGTAAGTTAATGTTATTAGAACTTCAAGTGCGTGCGCGGAAAATTAAAATTCGTGGGATTCCACCAAACTTTGAACTGAATACCAACCTGACTACAGCTTTA